AATAGGAGACCATGGTAAATGAAGACCACATGAGAACAGGAAGAAGCAAAGTGCTAGAGAGGCCCACAGAAATCCACAAAGATACCCACACAACAGACTGCCGGCAATGGTCGAGAGACAGCCCGAACTGACCTACTCTGGTGATGGGATGGCCAAACACCCTAATTGTTGTGCTAGAAACCTCATCCAACTACTGAGGGATCTGGATGCAGAGATCCATGACTAGGCCCTGGGTGGATCTCTGGGAGTCCAATCAACGAGAATGAGGAGGGTTTAGATGAGCGAGAATTGTTGAGACCAAGGTTGGATAAAGCACAGGGACAAATAGCCAAATGAATGGAAACACATGAACTATGAACCAATGGCTGAGGGGTCCACACTGGATCAGGCCCTCCGAATGGGTGAGACAGTTGATTGGCTTGATCTGTTTGGGAGGCATCCAGGCAGTGGGACCAGATCTTGTGCTCATTGCATGAGTTGGCTGTTTGAAACCTGGGGCCTATGCAGGATTGTTTGGCTCGGCCTGGGAGGAGGGGACTAGACCTACCTGGACTGAGTCTACCAGGTTGACCTCAGTCTGTGGGGAAGGCTTTGCCCTGGAGGAGATGGGAATGGGGGGGGGGGGGCGTTGGGGGGAAGGTGAGGGGGACGGGAGGGGGGAGAACAAGGGAATCCGTGACTGATATGTAGAACTGAATTGTATTGCAAAATAAATTAAAATAAATTAAAAAAAATTCCAAACAAGTCCATAAATTTTAACTCTGTCTCTAGGCTGTATCTGTTTCAATGGACTTCCATTTGGCTGACTGACACATCCAGGTACTGACTACTGACTTCAACCTGTGACATGGACTTAAAGGCTGATGTAGATTAGTCCAGCCAAACATAATTATTTTCTTTCTCTATGGCTAGGTCTAGACACAATTTATCTTGTTACCAGATCAGATAAACTCACAGAACAGATCCCAATATAACTTTTTACTATTGGCTGCTCTCTCTCAGTATATCCTGGCTTGTTTATATGAAGTTAGGAAAGCTGTCTCACTTCTTTTTATGTTTATCCTTCTCAGATCTGATGGTGTTTGATGACTAGGATGTATCAGTTTAACAGCCCCAATCCCAAGACTACAAGCACCTTCATAGCTCATTAATAAGTTTCCTGTTAAAAATACAGACAGGCATGCCTCATTCACAAACTTCATGGTACAGGTTTCAGATATAACTCCAGAGGTTCAAAATTTTCGATGCAGTTTTGATAAACTAATACAACATTGACTACAAACGGTTCTTAAGAGTCCCTAAATTTCTATGGATTTTTAACCCTTTTGCTATGATGTAAATCTGTTCCAGCTGTCTTACAGATACCTGCAGGTTCTTGGGAAAAGTTCTGCTACTGTATCAAAAAATCTGGTTTGATGAAAACTAACAACCTCCAGAGCCCATTTCTGACCCCGCCTATTTTTCTAGCATATTTTGCAGATTCACTCTTCCTACCTGACCTCCAGAGAAACAGCAGATGCTGTGGCTTCTATACTCCTGATTTGGTGTGCCGTTCCTCAAGCTCCTGGAACACCACTGCTGCAGCCTGCCTCCTCAGCTCCCTCAAGGAACAGACGCCTGAGATCCCGGCATCATGCATGACTCCCGGTTTCCCCCTCTACACTTTGCACCATGTCAGCTTGAAGCAGTATCAGGAATTCAGTGCCTTTCTTCCCACGCTTGCTACTCATAACTCACCTTTTTATAATAATCAAAATGGAGGAATGTTAGTATTCTGATCTGCCCCTTGGAAACCTGCCCCTTGGGGCCCCCCTGCATCCTGACTTAAAAACCTCATTTTAAAGAAAGCCCCCCTCCCCTTCCTCTCTTTCTCTCTCTTTCCATCCCACGAGGTGTGCACACCTCTGCTTTCCCTCCCTTCTCTTTCTTCCTGTCTCCCTCTTTCCTATCTTTCTCTTCACCTCTCTATTATAATAAACTCTCCATGTGGATGCAGTGTTCCACGTGCTGTCGCCTACTGCTGCATCTGCCTGCCATGTTTCCCTGCATGTGTGGGATACCCTGGCCTGGCGAGCTAGGGTCCCCTGTGTGATATATCATAACACTCATCAGTGTTTCTATCTCTTATTTAATTCCATTTTCAATTCTGGATTGTCTTTATCATTCCATCATCCTTGTGTTTGTATTTTCTTGGGCATTATTTAGGTGGTTATTTTCCTTAAGCTGATTCTCTTTAATTTCATTGAGTTGTTTCTTTGTGTCTTTTTTAAACTCCTGAATTCTTTGATGAAGTTTATGACTGTTCTTTTAAAATTTTGTGTGCTGTGGTTCATCTATGTAATTCTTACTGGCAAGCATTTCTACAGGACTTGTATGTTTTGGAGGGAGATACTGCCTTGATCTTTAATATTGTTTGCATTTTGCGATGAGCTCTGGACATCTGGACTTCATTAGTTCTGTGTCTGATATGGACAGAACAGGTTGTGGCAGAAGAAAGGATATTTAGTTGGGTTGGGCTTAGATTCTGGAATGAAGTCAGATGCATAGATAAAACTGAGCTTGTGTGAAAGGTGTGCATCCTGGTCCAAACTTGGAGTGTGGGAATAGATCTGGCTGGGAGAAGAGGTTGGATGTACAATGAGAGGGCCCAGGCACTGGTGGCCACATTAAACTGGGACACAGGATGTGGGGCCTGGGCTGGATCAGGGAGCTTGGGGATGGTGTGTGGGAAAGAAAGTAAGATAGACTTACTGAGCTAGACCTTGGGGAAGGATGTGAAGGATCTGGCTGAGTAGAGAGGTTTGATATGGTGTCTCTTAGGTTTTTGAACTGCACAGTAAAGTTATTCAGTCAATTTACTGCACTATAGTACCCTAGAACTTCTTATGAAAACCTAAAGGATCCTAACTATTGAAATAAGGTTTAGACACTAATAAAAATTCTTTCATTACAAATATTTGAATATTGTTTTCCTTTCCAAAGTTTCTGTGCCCAAACAATAAATGTCCATACTATTTTCTGGTGCACAAACAGCATACTCTACAGTACAGATGGGACAAATGCATCAGAATTCACATTCATTCTTCCTTCTTCATACTAATACTAAGACTTGACAGGCAGGTCAAGTAATTTGTATTCACATTTAGTTGCCTGTTTTCTCTCCCATGTTTTTCAGCCATGCTCTTGCTAACTTCAAATCATCTTTAATATCCTACCCCTTCCTTCTTGTCTGTGTGGTTTTTTTATGGCTCTGAAAGTAAAACTGTACCAATTTCACCTATTCTCACCAGGCTGAAAATAGCAAAACTACTGTTTTGCTATATTTGGTTTTCCAGTGATGTAGCTCTAGCACCCAAAGCTTGGTGTGATGTCTACCATTTGCTCAAAAGGCATAGTTGGTACCTAAAACAATCAGTATATTAAGTAATAAGAATAATGAAAACTGCTGCTGGAAAAATCACTTCTTAGATAGCAAGCCTGGGAAATGACCTCAAAGAGGAATAGGGTAAACTTGAAGATGAAAATATCCCCAGTTCAAGTGTCATACATTGGTCCTCTTAAGTAGTAGAAAACAGCTATAAAACAATACATCAAAGAACAGTCATTGAAAACAAAACAATACAGTCAAAGAACAATGCATCAAGTTAGATAGCTACCCAGTAGAAGATGACAAACAGCAGTCAGCAGTGCTCAGAGGTTAACGCAACTTGTTTCAAACATGTCTGTAGAGAGCCGCTGTTTTACACTCCTGTTGATAGCCTGCTTTTCAAATGGCTAGGAGAGTATGAGAGTATACAGTTTGAGATCTATTTGAGAGACTCTGTACGAATGAGTTGGAAAACGGGGGAAAAAGGATGTTTAGTCAATTGGTTGGTGCTGCAGACTGTAGAGAACAAGGAGAAACACACCAATGCTTTTTCCACAAGGCTTCTCAAGAAATTTGTTTAAAAATACATATATAAATACGTATTATAAATATACATACATATATGTATGACAAGACATTTGAGTTATTCATTGTATATCATGTTTTATAAGTAACTTACTAATACGTTGTGTGAGATTTGCCTTATAGTCTCAAAAATGTTAAGCTTGATACAAACATTGGTGTAACTAGTGATTAATGGGGGTGTACAATAGCCCCAAACAGTTTAGTGCTTATCTTAAAACAGTCTGTACCTCCACCAACATAATGTGATGCTCTAGCTACCTGGTGGAAGCCTGCCTTTAACACAGGAGAACCGTCTTTAGGGAAGTTCAGTTCATGTTTGCATGCTTACACTTAACAGGAATCACTGCCATCATTGACGTATTATGTGATGTTGCCACACTGCTATAGGAAAACTGAATAGCTACTGATTCACAGAGGTGATAAACTTCCTCTTGTTTTTCCTCCTGGTTCTGTCCTAGCTTGTGTTTGCCACTGTGTCCTATACCTACACAATTTCTCCAAACACCTGAAAGGTTAGTTGGACATCATTTATCCAGAGGCATTGAGGTAGAAATGAGTTCATGATGTAAAATCACCAGCAAGCCGTCCTGAAAAGTGTTTTTATCATAGTAAATAAAGATGAGATTAGGAAAATGTCTAGAGGAATGCCAGTTTGAATAAAAAAAATCTCCCAGTAGAAATAGTGGAAATAATAAGAAAGGATGTAATGCTAAAATTTCATAAAATGGAGTGATGTATCTACAGGTGTTTATCATATTGCTTTGTCTTCCCATCAATATGTTCAAAATATTACACAATAAAACAAAAAATATTCTATACTGTTATAGAGTTAACAGTGCAGCAAATACGATTTATTTAGAGTTTTTGCATTGATAACAAATATAGAGGAAATCAGACCAAGATTTAAAAAGTGACATTTTTGGAATATTTTCATTGACCTCAATGCATTCATACATATTCATAATGCCATACACAGATGAAATTATTGGAGACACACACACACACACACACACACACACACACACACACACACACACACACTGCTACGTCATAGAGCCCAGGTTACACGACGTGATTGTACATGTGGTCTGTTCAGGGTATCATCCTTTGAGGTCATGGAGTGCACATGGACAATGCTCCGAGGCATTGTGGTGCGCTCTGGAAGTGAAATCACTTGGATTGAACTCCCAGACAGCCTTCTTCTACTGACTTCGCTGGATGGTATACAGAATTTCAGGCAGGCACATTTGTCTGTGCACTGCATGAAACAGAAGGTACCTAGGGACAGAGACACAAGGGAGCAGGATTAGTGTACTGTGCAGAGGTGTGGGACCACTTCCTTCCAAATTCTTAGAAGACTCTGAGCACTGAGCCTTGTGAATGCTTCCCAGCTTCTATCTGCAGTCATCCTGGAGAAGAATGATTTAGTCAGAGGGAGTGGAATTATCCACAGTAACCTGTGGAGGGTTCATTCTGAATGAAGATGTGCTTTGATATGGGTTCTTTGAGGAGGTGCAATTCTTATGAAATTTTAAAGACTCCCCAGGAGAAGGAGAAGGGGACCCCTTGTCTTGGTGGGTCCCTCTCGTATCAGCTTTGACACTGCCTGTCTTGTAACTGCTTTGGCACCACGCTCTTTTCCTTGGCTCCCTGGCCCTCTAACATAATTGAACCTTGTTCTCAGCCACTGTCCTTGGTGGTGACCTTCATGGTTTATCTCTCCCTTGAAGTTGTAAAGTACTAAAAATATTGAAAAGGAGAAGACGAGGAGTGCTCTTAGAGGCAGGGATAGCCTACCATGTCCAATTTCAGCTTTCTGCTTCTAAGAACTGTATTTAGATTGTCCAGCTGATTTTTTTTCACCCTTTAAAGCATGGGTTTGGCCTCTTCTCCTCGATTCTCCATTTTCATTATTTCGTACTTTACTCCGTATGGATTCACTGATTTCTATCTCTCTTTTAGTGCCCTGGAGATACTCACCACAGGTAAGGAAGAGTGCGATGGCTAAGTAGACAGTGAAAGCGATCCTTTTGACCTTGTAAGTAACAAAGTATGTTTGTTGACCTTTATTTAGCTTGTGATGATACACAGTGATTGCGTAGAACAAAAGGCAACCTATTGTCCAAAATAAAGAAATTTTTTTCTTAAGAAATTTAAACTCATTAGTCACATCTTCACCCCCATTCACCTTACTTCCCAAACTGTCACTTCCAGGACAGCCATTTCATAGAGTGATCATAAGTTAGTGACAGATCTAACTCAGAAGCAATATATACCCTTGAATCAGAGAATTGGAAAGACTAGCTATTTAAGGGTTACAGGTGGAACCTACAAGCCCATTGCAACTTCCATCTATACCAGTGGAGCCAGGAAGTTGTTACCTGTGAAGAAACTCAGGAAACCAATTAGGAGGTGCACACACTTATTTTGAGAAATCATAGAGGTGAATTGCAGACCTAAGATCAAATTAAGATAGATGGATATGTTGAGACTCATCCTCATCATGCTACTGATCGTCCCCAGGTTATCTGTTGGGAAACAGAAGCTGTATTGAGAGAATGACAAGGTATTTCTTCTAGACTCATTTCCACAACTGTCGAGGTCAAACTTTCATGAGGATCTAAAAAAGTCAGAATGCGAAAGAGGGAAAAGGAGTAAAGAATAAAGAGGCAGTGTGCTTGAGACAGCTGAGAGTCCCAGCAGAAACTTAGTGCTTTTATAAGCTCTTTCATAACTCACAGGTTAAATACCTTATTCCACCCATTCTCTCTTAGGGATGCTAAAATCCATTTGCCTTTTGGCTAGTCATTTTTGTCATACCCCTCATGTCCAGTTGTGCTGGTAACCCTACTGCTACTTACCAGTTTTATCAAAAGTCCAGTGCTTAAACCAGTGAGATCCTAATATTTTCTCCCAAAATCTAAATGGTGAAATTTTAGTTTTCCTCCACTACATTATGTTTGCAAATGGATTTACTGTGGGCCTGAGAAAGTTGCTCCCAGGAATAATGGGTAAATTGATCAGATGATAAAAGTCAAAGGAACCATGAAAATTTCCTCTCCACCCACTACTTTCCATAGTATAGTTCTGACCTTCAGGCCAAAAAGCAGGACAGCAACCCAGCCATGGACTGTGGGTAGTCTTATCCTTTCTTATTTTGGGAATCAGTTCCACCCAGTTTTCCATGATTAATCCTACCACCAACATGAGTATGGCCCCAGAGGAGAAGACTATGTTGACACTCTGGATACTTCTGTTTGGGAGATGCATCACTGTGGATAAAAAATTTCTATCGGAGACTATCACCAATGTTTCACATGTCTTTTCTTTGATCAGTCACAGGAAGAAGGATGAAATCTGAATGTTCACTGACTGCAGAGGTGTTGCCACAGACATCAACAGAGGCAAAAGCTGAAGTAACCTGTAGAGCAGAAAAGATGACTTCCTCCCTTTACCATTCTTATATAAAGGGCAGACTGTTGTCAGAGCAACAAACTACCGTGGAATCCTTTGTCTGTTGGTTTGACCCTTGACCTTGGAACATAAGGCATAGGAGCAACCAAGCTGTGCAAAAGTTCTTTGAGAGAGCTGTATGTGGCAAAGTCTGATACCATAGAAAGAGATATCAGAAACGGACTTTAAAGGCATTTGACAGGTGTAACTAAAGGAGTTCCATATTGCAGTCAGAACTACATGTGCTGGGGTTAGTTGACACTGGGTGGAGTCTGTGAAGCAGACAATCCCCAGGTCTTTTGGATAAGTGCTCAGTTAATTGGCAGCACAAAAGGGAATGCCCATTAGAAATTTTGGGTGTGTTGTATAAACTCAGGTCTTCAATGTGGTTTCTCAAAGAAGCCTATTTAATTAGGCTTCTAGGGAGACTAAAGCTCTGAATCTCAAAAAAAAAAAAAAATGTTCTGGTATACTGGGTCATTTCAGTCCACTATCTTCCATAAGGTGTAAGAATCATTTCTTGTCAGAATTGCCTTTGTAACTTGACAGAGAAAACATTTTGTGGAGTCCTTGAGGAGAAAAAACTATGGTATGCGTTAGGTTTGGATCCAGAGGGATGTTCAAAAACTCCTTAAATGCCTTTTCCTGGGAGCCAAGAAAACTGTCTCCAAATACTTTCCTTCTGTTCCCCCCCCATTTTTCCTTTTATTGAAAATATTCTTTTCTCATACACTGTATTCTGATTATAGTTTCCCTGCCTCTTCTCCTCCCAGTTACTCCCCACCCCTCTCCCCTTAGAATCCACTCCCCTAATGTTTCCATTAGTAAAGAACAAGCAACCAAACATGACAAAATATAATAGATGAAGCAAAAACTATGATATCAAAGTTAGGCATGGCAACATAAAATTAGGCAGCACATAAAGGAGTGCGCATCTTTTCTGTTTCCCTTTTGTGAGGTGGAACAGGGGTTGATATGTAAAGCAAAGAAATTTTTTTAAATAAAAAAAAGAAAATAGATTTTTTTTCTTACATAATACGTCCTGATTATGTTTTCCCTTCCCTCTACTCTTCCTAGTTTCTCCTCATATCCCCTCCCACTGGATCTATTCCTTTTCTGTCTTTTATTAGAAAACATACAGGTTTCTAGGGGATAATTAAAATAGAATAAAATAAAAATTAACACACTGGGAAAGGATAAAATAAACAAACAGAAGGAAAAGAGGCAAAGAAAAGACACAAGGAACAGATATAGACATAGAGACACACTTCTTCCCACATTCAGGAATCCCATAAAAACAGTAAACTGAAAGCCATAATATATATGCAAAGGACCTGTAGAATAAAAAGAGAGAAAAATATATAAATAAAATAAAAACAAAAACAAAAAATAAAAAATAAGATGAAAAAACCCCAAAATATAGAAAAGCCCTAACATGTCATGAGACGAGAAACTTCCAAAATAAAAATAAAAACAACAACAACAACAACAACAAAATAAGATAAAAAGATCCCCAAATACAGAACAGTTCTAACATGGCATGAGACGAGGAACTTCCAATGATGCCACTGAGCTTATTTGCTATTGGCCATCTACTGCTGGGCAGGCAACCCACCCTTATGAGTAGTTTGTTTTCCCAGTGAGATTCCTTTGGAGGAAACTAAATTTTTATTTGCAAGTGGTTATCAATTGGAGATTGCTTCTGAGTTAAGGATGGGGGCTTGAGTTCACTTCTCCTTTCAGGCTGTAGGACTCCATCCATTGCAGACCTGTTAAGGCCCTGTGCTTGCTGCCTCAGTTTCTGTGAGCTGATGTGTGCCCGGATCCTGTTTATTTAGATCACCTCATTTCCTTGGTGTCCTCCATCCCCACTTCCTCTTCTGCAGGGTTCCCTGAGCTCTACGGGGAGGGTTAGAATGAAGACATCCCATTTAGGGCTGAGTGCTCCAAGGTCCCATTCTCTGTATAATATCTGGATATGGGTCTCTGTATTTTCTCCCATCTGCCACAGGAGGAAGCTTCTCTGGTGGTGGCTGAGCAAAGCGCTGGGCTCTGAGTCTAGCAGAAGGTTATCAGGAAGCCACTCACCACCATTTTTTTTTTTTTTAGAACAGTAGTATTTGGTTTTACTCTAGGTTCTTAGTCACCAAAGCAGTCTCAGGTATTGGTTTCATCTCATGGAGTAGGCCTTGAGTCAAATCAGATATTGGTTGGCCACTGTTTTTAGATGCAGAGTCATCTCTCTAGGCCCCTTTCCTGGACTCCTACTATTATTTGTTCTTTTGTAGATGCCCATTCTGACTGTGGTGAAATGAAATCTCTGCAGAGTTTGGATTTGCACTTGCTTCGTTGCTAAAGATGTTGCTCCCCCCCCCCCCCCGTATATTTATTGGCCATTTATATTTTTTCATGTGAGTTTTTTTCTCTCATTTCTATTTCCCATTTATTTTTTCCTTCTTTTCTCATTCCTCAGTGTGGTCCTCTGCCTTATCGTTGGCTTTCACAAAGACATTATTTTCTAGGCTGTTGTACCAGAAGAAATGTAGGATAAAACTCGGGGGATAAAGTAATTTTGACGACTGCTTTGAATTACTATGACATTTGATTAAAAGATATCCCTCTGGAAGCTTCTACCCTGAGAACTAACTCTCATAGTGTCTGAAGGCATTATTCAAACTGACACTCTTGTGTTTAAAGAAATCAACAATCCTATTTCACTATAAAATCTGTGAACCTCAACAATGAATAGCTTGGCAAGATACTCCTCAACGTGCAGTAGTGGAACTTCTACCCTGAGGACAGCCAACAACTATTTAAGTGGACTTCAAGTCCATTCGGCAGAAGGGAGTTCATGACTGGTACTATAAACCTAGCCAATTTCCTGTGTCTGGTGAGGTCAGGGACCCTAAAGAGAACCTGCTACTGTCACTTTGCTAAAACTGCATTCTAAATACCTATTCTTACACTCAAAGACACGGGGAACTCTCACCTCTCATCAAAGAAACTGCTTCTTCTCTTTCTTCTTTCTATTCTTCTTCTTCTTCTTCTTCTTCTTCTTCTTCTTCTTCTTCTTCTTCTTCTTCTTCTTCTTCTTCTTCTTCTTCTTCTCCTTCTCCTCCTCCTCCTCCTCCTCCTCCTCCTCCTCCTCCTCCTCCTCCTCCTCCTCTTCCTTCTTTTTTTCTTTTTAGCAGATGGAGATCATTATAGAAATTACAACTGACCAAAATGCCAAGAACAACTGATTATGGAATGCTCACCCTGAGTTGACATATCTACAACACAACCACACCTCAGCCTCGGGGAACATTATGGAAAATGTGACAGAAAGTTCCTAAGAGCTAGAGGACCAGTGTGTCTGCTGTGAGATGGTGTCTTCTATATATCACAGAAAAGCTGCCCCCACGACCTCTCAATAATATGATTCCCCAAACAAGACCTTCACAATGAGTTGACATCTCAGTGCGGATGGGGAAAAGCTTACAAGGTCCTCCCTCTAGATGGAGAGCTATAGGCAATTAATAGCTGCTGAGAGAGGGAGACCTGATCTTTTCCAGGGGTGAACCCTCTGATAAGTTACCCAATCTTAAGATATCAGTTCTCAACATACACATATGAGTAACACCAAATGGCCTCATTAGGCTGTATTTACATATACATTGTGTGTGTGTGTGTGTGTGTGTGTGTGTGTGTGTGTGTACAGTAAGAAGTATAGAAGAAGAGGTCATGAATTTGAGAGGAGGGGGGCCATAGGAGAAATTGGAGGGGGAGAGAATGGTGAAAATTGATGTAAATACAGTACCCATGAAATTCTGAAACAGTAAACTCTAGTTGGTGAGTACCTGACAAAAGATTATCTTTACTGAAAAACACAGAACTCTAGATATTGAGCAGTGTAAAGTAATGAAAATTACCACTAAAAAGAAAAATTGTCAGAATAATAGGATATAAGAAATTTTTAAAAAGCTATAAAAATACTGATTTACTGAGGCAACCAATTTCCTTTTGCATATTATTTTCCCATTTCTGTTTATGTGCATACGTTTCAAATATAGATGCAATAAAAATGTTCATATTACATGTAGTTGGTAGCATGAGCAGTTAGAAACAATATTAATAGAACCACAGTCCATTGTATCAAGTCTGTGGTAATGTTTTCCTGTAATATACTGGTCATGTTCACATTCACATATTGTATGGCAATGTATCCTGAAATAAGATGGAGTCTGAGGAATTAGATGGTTTTATTTTCTCACTGTTTTCTTCCCTAGAAGAAATGACTATTGTTAATAGCAGCATATTTATGTGTATCTCTTTATATACTTTATATAATTCTTCACATTTTTCTTGTGTGACCTTCAGAAATACAAAAACTTAATTAGAAAAACTCCATTTTATATCAATATTGCCAATAAGGAAACATTGGCTCAGAGAGGTGAGATAACTTGGCCATAGAAGTTAATAAAATGGATTTTATTTATTTATTTATTTATTTTTGAGATAGGGTTTCTTTGTGTATCCCTGGTTGTACTAGAATTCTCTCTGTAGACCAGGTGGCCTCGAACTCAGAGATCTGCCTGCCTCTGCCTCCTGAGTGCTGGGGTTAAATGCATGAGTCATCACATTCAGCTTAGCAGAAACAGATCTTAATCAGTTTTGAACATGAAAATGTCTACACATGTAGTTTCTCTCTCTCTCCTTCCTCTACCTCCCTTGTCTCCCATGCTTCCCTTCTCTCTCCCTCCTTCTCTCTCAATGCTATGTACTCTGTCCAGTTACTTAGGTGTCAAGATTATTAAGGTCCACAAGATAAACATGCC